CAATGTCTTAAAGTGAGATCCCCAACGAGTATCACCTGGTCTTTGAAGCCCAAGTTCTTGATTAAATCCACTCCCTGTATTAACTTCACCAAGCACTAATAACTCATCTAATTTTTCAGCTTGATCATCTCTAAGCATCTCCCTACGCTTATAAGAACCTCCAACAACATTCAAAACATTAGCATGAATGTCAAAAAAAATTATTTACATCATGGTGTTTCTTTGCAACAGCTACAAGAGTCAATTGCAACTAATGAGCAAAGTAATGTATGCAATGTGCCGAAGGATTATCTTTCAGAATCAAAGTTTTAAGACCATTGATGTTTCCTTGCATGTTACTAGCTCCATCATACCCTTGTCCCCGTATTAGAGATGAACTCAATGAATGTTGTAAAAGCAAAGAATATATTTCTTTTTGTAATGCATGTGCAGTTGTATCTTTAACATGAACAAGGCCAAGGAATCGCTCAATAAGTTCACCCTCTTTATTGATAGCGCAGAACAAGAGCCATTTGTTCCTTATGAGAGACATTCTTAGACTCATCAACTAATATCCCAAAAAAATCTCCATTCAAGTCTTCAATAATTGCTTTCACCGTTTCTTTTGCACAAGAATTCACAATATCTTTCTGAATATCAGGAGAAGTCATGGTGTTATTTTTTGGAGCTTTTTCTAACACCACATTTTTCACATCTTCCTTCCTATCTGCATACCATTTTAAGAGATCTAAAAAATGGCCTCTTCTAGTAGAAGTTACACTCTCATCATGGCCCCGAAAAGGAATTCCTTCTTTCAAAAGATACCTTATCACATCAATTGAAGCATTCAAACGAACTCGATGTTCACTTTTAATTTTCTCTGATTGCTTGTCCAAAGAAGTTAGAATGGATTGTTCTTGGTTCATTAAATCTAGCATCATATTGAAACATCGATTATGAACACTACCCACGTTACCCACATGTGATTTAAGTCCTTCTAAACCTTTATTCCAACCTCTAAAACCATCTGTTGTGAAAGCATCACCTACTTTTTTCTATATCCTCCAACCTCATTTTTAAACAAGTAACAACATAAACAAAATGTTGCATCTTGTTTAATGCTATATTCTAACCATTGAGAACATGAAGTTTTAAACCATTCAAGATTAAAGTGGCGCATTATTCCCCCAAAATCTCTTTTTGGAAAGACAAAACCACGAGGTTGACAAGCTCCATTTTGTATATAATTTCTCCTTATACGGTCACGTAAATTAGGAGGATATTCTGAAATTGGTTTTCTTTTAGCAGGATCGGGCTCATAATAGCACACTTTATCCGATGCTTGGGAAGGATTAATATTGTTATTAATAACTGGACATGGAGAACTTGTCAAAGGAGAGCTAGAAGAAGCTGCAGAAGCTTGAGCTTTGTAAAAACTCGTGATCATATCGACTTTTGCTAGAAAAACCTAAAAATCACAAAACAGAAATTTACTTGAAGTTGTATGTTTCAAAACGCTATAACAAACTATTCTTTATCTCCTCTGACATAGTTCAATTTGTAAACTGTAAGATATACCAATAAGAACTTATGAATGCACAGTGCTAAAATATAAAGAGTAAATCATCATGTACTTTATTTCACGAACTTATGTAGCACTAGATTTACACAACCCTTGAAAACCAATAGATAACTAGACATATTTTGTGCATTTATGATAAAATCCACACAGTAGAAAATATACTTTTATGTCAGAATTCAATTGGAAATAAATATAAAGGTAACTGCCCCTCATTCTTGTAACAAACAAAAAATTCTTCTATCATGTGTAGAAACACTTTACAAAAATTGAACACATAAACAAACATAAGTAACTTAATCTCAAACCAAATTGGGATAGCACAATTTTTAATCATCTATTCATAAATGATACTAGAGTAATACTTCTCTGATAGCACAATTCATTACACTAATTCATTACTCTTGAAGTTCATAATCGAATCCCACACAATAGCACATTTAGCCGATTCCCCTCTTACAATCAATCATCAGTAGCATAATCTCAAATCAAATTGGGATCAACCGTAACAATTCTGCACTATTTCTATTTGGGCTTATTCATTCCAATACCAAAATAATTTGCCTCAAATCAATTGAAAAGGGGTTAAGAATTTTGATTCACATGAGATGGGAAGACGGACAGATTACAGATACCTAAGGCGAACCCTAGCAGAGGCAGTAGAACCCTAGCTTTTTTTTGATTTGGGAATCGGAAGGAAAAGTTTGTGTTTAAAGTTGGGAAGCTTCTGTTCTTTGTTTATTAGAAAGAAACACGTTATGTTGAGGTAAGTGAAGAAAACGTTGTCGTTCAGTTGATTTGTGAAAAAATATATTAAAAAAACGAAATAAAAAACTGCTTTAATGGGGAATCGAACCCACACCTTTTTCCAACAAACCCACAGCCTTTACCATTGAACCCAGACCTCTTTTGTTACTGGGTTCAGCATGATATATTTATATAGATGTGGTAAATTTTTCAATACAAATACAGGGTTTCGAAAAAAGTCACTGGGTTCGCCCGAACCCGCACCCACTACTGTACCTCCGCTCCTGGGCGCCATATTCTAGGAGCCCAAACTATGTGATTGAATAAATCCTCTTCGGGTCAAGGGCTCCTTCTCCCTCCCCTTCTTCAAACTCCGATTCATATTTTTCATAGAGAAATCTCTTATCAAGGAAAGAACAAGAGCCGTTTTGCATCATATCTAAGGGATTCCTCGGTTCGGGGGAAGAAGCAATGTCACTCGATCATTATCAAACTGACTGCAATCTTTTTTTGTCTGTGAAGATCCCACCAGAGCGCCTTCTACTTCTAATAGGCCATGAACTAGATCAAAATCATTCTCAACGAGTCCATAAGAAGTGATCCCATTTTTTTCATCGGGTCCGGATAAAGACCAAAGATCTTGAGCGACCGGTCCAGCAGAACAACTCAAAAGATAAAGAAGTAACGTTAATCTCTCCATGCTCGTTCCAAGCTCGAAGTACCATTTGTACAAATAAGAATCCCCTTTCGTTACATGATTTCTTCTTCATATAGATAGATATAGGATCTATGGGGCAATTACTTAGAAGTACATTTTGTGCTACAGCCCTTCCTATCTGATAAAAAGGATCCCATGATCTTGAACCGATCTTACCTAGGATCGCAAATCCCAAGTTTGTCTATGAAAAGCGGATCTAATTGTATTAGTGTCTATAATTGATTTCTTCTATGCAATATTAATCGATAGGACCTCATTGGTAAGTGCTACAAGATCTCGTGCATTGGAACCCATGGTTATGGACCCGAATCCGTTAGTATGGAACATTTTCTTTTCCAAGTGAAATCCCCTAGTATATGAAAGAGTGAAAAAGTGCTTTCGTTGTTGTGGAAGAAGAAGCCTTCGTATCTTAATGCACGTATTTAATTTATTCGGAGCTATTAGAGCGGGATCCACTTTTTGGGGAATATGAGTCGAAGCAATAACAAGAATATTTCTAGTAGAACATCTTTCACAATCCCTGGAGAGATGGTTCACTAATAGACCGAGGGCTAAGTCATTCGACTCATTCACATCCAGATCATGAATGTTTGGAATCCATATTATGCAAGGAGACATTGCTTTTGCTAATTCGAATTGAAGGGTGATATAAAATCGGTCTATTTCCGGCATCATATCTATAGTTAGACCATTCATCCTAGTTAGCAGTTCCAGCTCCGTATCAAGGTCACGATCGATATCGTCACTAGCATCAAGATTGTCACTATCATCAATATCGTCACTATCATCAATATCGATCTCATCAAGAAGAAAACCTTTAGGCTTGTTATCCAGGAACTTGATCAGAAATATCGTAATGAAAGGAACATACAAGTTTGTCGCTAGGTATTTGACCAAATAGGATCGTCCAGTTCCTATAGAACCTATCACTAAAATACCCCTAGAGAGGGATTAGGCTAAGCGGAGCGAAAAGGGTTTTACATGAGATGGGAAATGAAAACTATTTTCCCCACACGAAGTTTGTGAGTAAGTGATTGTCTGATAATGAGCAAGGAATATTCGTCTTTCTGCTAAACAGGATGGATTGAACTCATAATTCATTAGATGCTTTTTATGAATGTCAACTAAGTATCGTAAGTAAATTGCTCCCGGTTGTTCAATCATTTGATAACCAGAGTCATTCTTTGATAAACGATCACTATGAGTCAGACTCAATAGAATTTGATCAATCCTATTTTCTGTCGTTAAGGTGGAGAACTGAACCAAGAATTCTCTTTCTTCATCATCAATCGAATCACTGTTCGCGACCCAGGATTCTATTTTATCATCAATCCAATCCCCGTTCACGTTTTTTCTTTTTCTTATCAATGAATAGATCTCTTTACTTGTATGACTTAGATGTCTCGTATTTCTCGAAAAAGTGATTCGATTGATGGGATTTGGTATGAGATCGATGATCTCGATGAGATTGCTATTCCAATCTTTCTTCTTAGAACGTATTGNAATTTGACCACATAAGCGGGACCAAGCATGTTGCCGCCAGAACCAGAACCTCGTATTTCTTCTAGAGAATCTCCTAATTGTTCCAGAGCAACTAAAAAGAGATTCTTTAACCAGAAAGAATTCGGTTCAGATATAGGATACCTATACAGAAGTTTTCGCAACTCAATCATAGATGATGGAATCATCAAAGTTTTGACCTTTTCGAACTCTGTCNTGTCTGTAACTTACTAGAGGCCCAGGAAACAAAGAGAAGATGTGTACGAACGAGATATCCAGCAACAAGAAGAAGGAAAAGGATTGAATAGAGGAACTCCCGAGCATTTGGCGATCTCAGATGTGTCGATATCAATGGTGACTCATTATTTCGATGAATCATTTCTTCGGACAGAAGAAGATTATGTAAACACTTACTCGAGATCTCACTTATCAGATTCCATTGTGGAAGACACAATTTTTTCTGAAGAATTCGCCATGATATACCTGATCCATGCATAATATCATGAAAAATGGGTACAAATTTTTGACTGCTACTTAGTATTGGCAATAGGTCTGAAAAAGTATCTAAAAATATCAAATTTAGATATTTGTACCCTGTCGAAGTAAGGAACCATGACATAGATGTTTGGAATAGATTCCATTTTGAGAGAGTTGAAAAAGCACTATCTCGTTGAAAGGTTCTATACATCTGCCCTTTTTCAACGCATTTCTTTAGACAAAGACTCCGTTTTTTCCTCTTTTTGGATGATAAATCTGTCTCAGAAAATGGAGTGTGAATCAAACCCATGTTTGAATTGAAATTGAGATACTATGCAAGTTTTTCCCTTCTAAATCAGATAGATTCGTATCTGAAAGAGGTTGACAATAAGTTCTTTCAAAATTGACTATTTGCCCCTCTGTTAGAGGTGTTCCAGAAATGTCTGCGATCGAATAAATAGCTCTACGAACGAATGGATCGGATCGACTAGGAAAATGGAAAGATTTGTACAAGTTATACGTTTCGTCACCACTTTGTGGAAAATCGTTAGGTATGAATATGTTAAATACCTGTGACTCGATTGGTGAAATAGTATCTCTCCCCCAAAAAGCATGTTTTTTTTACCGAAGCACAAAGAAAATATTTTGTTGCGAATGAACAAGATATTGAGGAATTGTCCATACGTAAAATCAGAATTATTGATACGGGATAGAGAAACTCCTGAGAGATTTGGGACCTCTTGGTGTGCATTCAACTTCAGATTACCTGTTTTCAAGAATAGGATTCTTGAGGCAACCTCCTTCTCGTTTTCTTTATAAATCATTGATAACTTGAAAGGAAGAATAGGAACTCATGAGCAGCCGCAGCAATAGAAATAGATTCCCTTATGTCAACTCATAACGGTATCAATGTTGGCGCTCTAACAATCAAATTTCACAAGGTAATCTTATACCAATAACTTGTTGAATAAACTAAGATGAAGCTCATCCTGTAACTAACTGCACTATGTAATAACTTCCTTTTTTTAAACGATGGTGTTCAAGTTAGCTTGAATGTAACTTGACTAATCTATCGGGCACTTTCTACCTCCCACCAGCACAAGTATTGGATAACTCTACTCACTAATCCCTAAGAACTCACATAGTGTAGCCTCAATTGCAATAGTACTTCGGTTGCCAAGGTTGTTACCCAACTCTTCGATCCCTAGTCCATTCCTTTGGGGCTTACACTATGTAATAACTAACAAACAATAAAAGAAATTTTCAGTTTCTCATATTTTGCTTATAGACCATAGCAGATCATATTTAGAGATAAATCTATGGAATATGGCAAGCAATACATTTGTAAAGCGGCAACCTAAGGTTGTTCATTCACATTCTTTTAGAAACTCGTCAACTCTCTTTTATTTGGAATAACAAGCATTTAGGTGGTTGTTGGTCCACAATTGGCATAACATCACTAGCTAAACTTGACAATACCTTACACATCCTTAAGCCTAATAATCTGACTGTGTATAGGAAGGGCAACAACATATTTTTCTTTTCACTGCAAGCTAAAACAGCCTAAAATCAATTTCTTTGGTACATCAAATCTACTTTAGCGATTTTCCTGTTCCATCATGGTGTAATGCAACAAGCCTCTTCCTAGATATCTACAAGACCAGGACTATTTATTTAATAAATTTTCAACTGAAATTCCTGTTTAGGTCCAGGGACACCTAGTCCTCTTATTTCTGTTTCTCACACCAAATTTTGATTTTCTTGTAATACGAATAAGTGGGTATGTCAGGCAACTTAATAACCAATACTTCATGTAAGTAATAATAAGCTATAATCTTTTCATCTCCCAAGACCTCTTATATAAATTAAATAGTCAACAGCAGTTCATTCATGTCTACTACTTAGATGTGGTCAACTACCTGAGGCCCCACGTTGCCGAAGTACAAAATGATGCATAGGCATCAATTAGGAAATGAACAAAACATTGAATTCTGTACTTCAAATCCCATGAATTCTTTCACTACTACATTGGAACAAATAGTGAATAGGACCTTGGACTACCATCTCATAATTGCATACTCAGAAGATCAGTTAGACCCAAAGGGAAAGACTACTAGTAAGCACACCCACACACCTGTAAATTTGGCAGACCCATATTAAGATACCTATTACGGGCACTATAAACAAAAAAAAAATGGGATTTGTGATATGTAATGAAGGTAATACAATGTAACTCCTATGTCAATCAGCGAATGAACAAATGAATCAAATTTTAAAATCACCCATTTTATGCATCTAGAAACTAATACTCCCTCCATCCCAATTTATGTGGTGGTGCTTGACTCACCACGGAGTTAAAGAAATAAAGGAAAACTTTTGAAACTTGTGGTCTAAAACAAGTTATAGATATTTGTGTGGCTATAAATCTCTCATTAAGGGTAAAATAGAAAGTTTAAAGTTAAATTGTTTCTACATAAGTATGACATTCTTGTTGGGACAGACAAAAAAGGAAAGTATGACACATAAATTGGGACAGGGGAGTATCACCAAGAATACACAAGATCTGATAGTACCTGTAACATAAAATAGGAGTCTATCCTCCACTTGTTAATGCATGTAGTAGAACTCTTAGGAGTAAGTTTGACATAAAACCATGTAAAGTCAAAACACATGCCAACTTCCAAAAAGTTGCCTTTGGAACTGAAAGCACCCACATAAATGACATGGAAAGCAATTTTCTTACCCGAGTTACAATGACAAGTTTCTCAATAGCCTCATCATTAACATCCATCTCATCATCTTCCTCGTCAACTCTTCATAGAGCAAGACCACCAAGATGTTAACAATACAGTTAGCAATATAGAAACAGTAAGAGAAATTTGCTCATATAAGTTCGTCCTCACAGTACAATTTTGTTGTTCCATGTGGAGTTAACAAAGAAAATCAGATAACAGTGAAAGCAATTATGATAAGTTCTTTTTCTTCCTTAGTCTCATCTCAGAAGCTCGTAATATATATCATTACTTAATATTTTTAACCTATTTTGGGCAAGCAGATGACCTCCTACCAGCTATAGCAAGAAGATTAACACACAAAAGCTATATATTCTTTATTTATGCCCGCAAGCAGAACCAATCTTCTTCAGATACACACCAATCCCCACCCTATGAAGGAACAAGGATATAAGTATCGCAATATGAGTTTTCGGAGGGGGCCCAAATGTTAAAAATGCATATACAACAGGCTTTCACCTTGCCCTTACTGATGAACAAGAAGACACCTATAATTGAACCAAAGTGGTTAGATTCTGGGAGGAAAAAGATGATAAAAGTTGCAATGAGTACAAGCAAATGAAGCATAATATGACCCAATAGCGTTAGATAAGCTGAACAAGTAATCAGCAGAGCCAGTCATCCACATATCCTTGTATCGATACAAGACTGCAGAACCAGCTATGAAGCAAACCAAGACCAAGCCCAGCCCAATTCAGGTAAGAAAATGTACAAATCCAGTTACAGCAATCAACTATACCTTCCACTCAAAGAGAGCTGGTCCTTTTTATGCTCAAGCTCCATCTCTTCATCAAGCATAAAAGTGCTTGAGAAATCATTAGATAAGTCATCTACAGCATCTGATGCCATCACCATTCTTGAATCACCACTTCCTTTGTCAAGTCTGTGAGTTGAGCCATGGAACCCAGATTTCTTCCTACTGTTTTCTGCTTTACCAAAAACTGATACTTTTTTAGCCTGTTTCTCTAATAATGGAAGCTCACCTACAGAACGATTTTCTTGGGAAGATGTCACTTGAGTTCCATCCTCTTTATTTTCATTGACCTCATCATTCTTTATATCAAGAACAACCTTCCCCACTAGGTGTTCCACTGGAGACAAAGGGGATGATTTCTGATCAGCACTAGCTGAAACCCACTTTGACCATTCATCACGTCTTCTCAACTTGTCATCCTACAGAAATTAAGCAAACTACACATGAACAAATAAAGACAAAGGTACAGAAGTAAATATAGAAGGCAAAGAGGAAAGACATAATTGTATTGATAGGCTAACTCAAAGCTCTTTGCACTAGCAAATTGCCAAATTAGTCTCGATACTTTACCCAAGTTGCAAATTTGTCTTGGAATGAATTTTAGTTCTTATTGCAAATAATGGTGTGAAGGGAGTAGCAGAGGAAAGACCAGGGAGGGGGGGAGCGGAGAGCAAATAAGAAGGAAAACCAAGGAGGGAAACCTATAGGTTAGAATTTTACCTTTCTGTTTCTTTTGTTTTTTGTTTCACCTTTGCCTTACTTTTTCTTTTATTTTCTTCTGATGTTCTGAGTTTCTTTACTTCATGTTTAATCCAAAAAGGCATTTAGGTCTTAGTCCGCCCAACAATACACCACGCGACCATTTTGGAACCAATATTAAATGTTGAGATGCAATATGAACAAACTTAGTTTGAGGAAAATAGGAACTTATATGTAAAATAAATTGGGAAATTTACTCTTTTTCCTGCCACGGGAAAAGGAAAGAGACAGTTGGAGACCCCAGCAAAAGGAAGAACACTTTACCTTAACTTCAACAGTGCTTGAAGCCTGTAATGCATCAATGATAAATGCTATATCTGTACTCATTTTTTTAACCTGAAACGCAAATGAAAAAGAAAATGATAGATGCTTAAATGTGTCACACAAAGTAAAAGAAAACAATATAATGGACTAATCCAACTACAGGTTTCACACATGAAAAAATTTTATACAAAATTTGATGGACTTCAATATAGAAACAAAGCACTGCAACGGTGCAACCTATCAGTCACTTTAGCATAAATGTAAGCATATCTGAGAAGCTTTGAGATTGTACCCTTTTGAAATCGGCAATAATAGAGATTGGAACCCATCCTTGATCATCCATCAAGGAAAGCAAGTAATGATCATTCTGCAAATTCTGATCACTGCCAAGAAAAAGGCACATGTCCTCGATATCAATCTATAGTAGTCAAAATTTTGTAGGACATATTGCAGGTAAAGTAATTGACCCACAAGAGTTGTATCTCTGCACCAATACTTCTTGAAATGAAATGTTCTAATAAAAAAACTACTTCTTGAAACGTAAATCCATTAAAAGGAGGGATCATTACTCCTGTTTTCTTAATTTGAGATAAGGTGAAGATTTTATTTAAAACAGTATCAAGCTGATGCTGTGAAAATACAGAGATAGACCTAGATTAAAAACTTTAAAATACTACACAGTCTAGAATGTCCAGCATGTTATGAATTTTATGAACTTTAAAACTTTATTTTAAAGGAGTTTCCATGAAAAAACTATTATTCCTGCCCTTCAAGCTTACAACTGTAACTATGTGATATCAGTGCAGTTAGCCAATACCACAATCAGGGAATAATTACATCTATTAAGAAAACATAGTGACAACTAACATAATAGAACCTTTTCCTGATATAGTACCTGAAATAGTACTCAATTTGCTTAATTATGCTCTCTCTCAAAGCTAATGTAGGTGATGGTGGAGTAGAGGCTCCGGAGCTGACAGGATGTGGGACAAAGAAAGGAGGGTAAGGCACTCTTACAGAACCTGGAGATGGGGGAGGAAGAAAGTATATAGCTCCTGGAGGACCTGTAAAATAGCCAATGGTCATTGCCATTTAAAAACAAATCGAAAACTAAGAATAACTTCATGAATAAATAAACAACTATTAACGGTGATAGGGATGACAGCACATAAGAGATGGAAATACCAGCTGGTTAGGGGAAGGAAGCACAGTTGATAAGGACGATATTACTGTCATCACAAAAGTCCAGCAAGTATAAGGGAGGGAGAAATAGGAGCAGTACCAAATTGCTAGTTACGTGCTAAAAGACAAGTGGCAGTCGAGCTACATTTAATGGTAAAACCATATTCCCTTTTTTTGTATTTCAAGAGTGATGTGGTCACTTATTCAGAAGACTAGTTATGCGTAAATTACCTGAAAAATTTGCACCATCTACGTAGCCCGGAGCTGGAGCAAAAAATTGAGGCCTTAGGAAAGGCCTTAGTCCCATACTCTGTTGTAACTGAATGTCATCTTTAGAACATACAGGACGCTGACTAGACAAGGCTGGACTAAACTGCCCACCATGTTCTTGTGTATTAGGTCTTCCTCTGTAGAATTTGGCATCGAAGTCATTTGGATCCCCTCGTGATGGGGGACGAAACCCACCATTTATAGGGGGTACAAAAGCTTGGGCTGCAGCATCACCATCAGACCTGGCCACGTGACCTTCAGCTCCAGGGAAAGGCACTCGAGGGTGCTGGTAAGCATACCCCGGAAGAGGAATATGTGGCATAGGTACCATATTTTGATAAAAAGGAGGAAATCCTGGCTGGTGGTAAGCCAAGGGTACAGGAAATGATTGCCCACCATTTTGGTTGTGCCTAGGACCTGCTTTTTGTTGAGATGCGGATGATGACTTATTTGACGATTTGGCACTAGAATATCCATGGAACTTTGGCTGCTCACCTCGGACCTACAAGACAATATACCATCAAATATATTTCATGGTAATACATTCTAATTCATGGTAATAGAGAATAAATAAATCTAAAGATAATGACCAGACAAAATTGCAACATAATAAATCTATTTGAATGATTGAATCATACCAGTTATGGTGCACTACCTTGCAAAGTTTTAGGACAAAAGATATTTTGACACACGGTACAGATGGGAGAAAAGCACATATGGCAGATAAAACGGCAACTATAAAAATATGCCTTAATCTCAAACTACATGGCATCAGCTATATAAGTCCTCAATATCTACCCGGGTGACTTTCAGCAGCAGCACACCTCTTTTCTAGCAATTGTTCAACAACACCACCCCTTTTTGGTAACCAATTTGGCCTTATTCCAACAGTAACGGGCCTCTTTTCGATAATCTGATTGCACTAGACCTATTCCAACCAGCATTCGGCCATTTCAGGCAGCAATGTTTTTCCGTGACTGTACCGACAATGCCTCTTACAGTAGACGAACCACACTGCCTCTTCAGGTCATTCGACCACTGACTTTTTCAACTTCTTCAAATATCTATCTAAAATGATCACTTCCTTGAATTGAGAGGGTGTGTTAAAAGTGGATCATTCAGAATATCCTATAACCATATGATTGTTAAAAGTTAAAGGAATTATCAAAAATATTGCATAAATCATTTGTAATGGTTATGTCATAATTACTAAAAACCTACTTTTTCAACAAAACAATTAGTAATCTTGTAATGAGTAAAATATTCCTTCTTTGATCTATCTCAAAACTCCTATATAATACCGGTATATTGTCAACTAACAATGGCAATAAGAGTTTTCTCAGTTCTCTTGCTTACTAATTGTACCTTCCGGAAGTCATTCACTTCCGGATATTCTCTTGTATAGGTCGGCTTTATTGACATCAAAATGATGCAAACCTACTTCCTCACTGAGTTTTTTTTCCTTCAGCAGGAAATTGAAATATTTTGTTATTCAACCAAATAATTTTAAGTGTGTAAAATATTTACTAGTTCTATCCCAAACAATCTCAGAGTAAAAGTATCTCCATTCCAATGCTCAACTTTTTTCTCCTTCCTTTACCATGAGTATATGCATTCACATGTGACACATGAATATTCTACACTGTCAGTATATAAAAGGAAGTTCTTTTTTTTAGAATGGTAACAGTAACTGACAGTACATAAATTTTCAATCGAGTAATAAAAAGTAAACCTTCTCAGAAGCAGCATTGCGGCTATCAGTCTCCGCCAGCGGAGGAAGTAACGGAGACTTGGCGGCGGAGTTAGAATCAGTAGTCTTAAGCATCTGCTGAGCATCAGATAGTGCCGGCCATGAAGCAGAATCAGTATCCGCCGCCGGCGACGAAGGAGTATCGGTCGCCGCCGGAGTCTTCCACGGCGACTTGGGAGGCTCGCTCACCTCCTTCTGATCATCTACACTAGTCTCATTTTCCGCCATGCTCATAAACTACAGTTACCCTGTATCGCAGATAAATTAAAGCTTAAAACTGATAATAAATTGATAGAATGCGAAAAAAAAGATGTGATTTTTTGGGGATGCCGAAGAGGAGGCGGAGCTATACGGCGGCGTGTGGTGGCTGTGGCGTTGAGAGTGAGTGACTGAGTTGTAAAGAGAGAGGGACACTAGGGTTGAGAGGTGTTTTCAGACAATGAGACTTAATTGAGGGCTGGGCATAATTTGGTACCCAAACCAAAAATTTTGGTATTTGGTATACCGTATTTTGGTATTTGATATGTTATTTAGTTTAACTTTTTAAAAAATTGATATTAGGTATGGTATTTGGTATTTCAAAATAAAATATCAAAATATCGATACCGTACCGAAATATATATTATATTACGCAAAACACATATTATCAATTATAATATAAATATAAAATATTTAAAATTTTACTTTTTTTTTATTCTCAAAGTTCATTAATTAACTCTAAACAAGTAACAAGACATTTCTAATGATCAAATATTCTTTTATGTATAATTTTCTTTATTTGGGTCGATATTTGCTAGTTTTGGACAAAATTTTTGTCAACAAATATTTTCAGTTTTGTATTTTTGAGTACTTTAATTAAGAATATTAGAGTGTATGGCTCTATGCACTAGTTAGTATTCAAACCGAATAAACCAAAGTTACCGAACCGAATAAACCGAAATCGAAAGGAGAAAAAACGAACCGTACCGAATTTAATTAGGTACGGTATTGGTATAGGATTTTAAGAAACCAAATACCGAAAATACCAAACTAAAATGTCTAAATACCGTACCGTACTAACCGAACACCCCCTAGAATTGAATGTTGTCAAACAGCGACAGTATTAAACTCGGTACTCAATAGGGTGTGAATTATTTTTACTAATAGTATTTAATTTGGTAAACAGAAAAAATAAAAATGAAATAGTAACTGTTTTTTTTTCTCTTAATTATCCGAAAGAGATAAGATTGGACTATTCAGATGGCTAGTTTTTAGTGTACGTGCGTTGCACGTGTCTATCGTGTTAATCAATAAAATATATACAAAAAGAACAAATTTATTCTGCATGTACCCTATACACTCCTATAATTTAGGTAAACCGATTTGTATTTCTGTCATCTTCGTAGGCCGTCAGTCACACACTCTCAATTTAATCCCCTTTTTTGAGTTTTATGTTTCTTCTCGTCTCAAAGATTTTTATTTAACTCTAACTTATGCACCACATGAGAAAGTAGGAACACTCCAAAAAAACTCATTCCACCAAGTCCCTTCCTAAATAATTATATTTATGGATTACATAATTATATATATTCAAAGTAAATATATAACATTTCAAAATTTAGCATGTAAATAGAAAAGTTTTTTTTTAAAAGGGATAAAGGATTCTACTTTTTGTTTGACAAAGTTGCCGAAAAATTGCTCATAAAAAAAGTAGCTAAGAGTTTCCTTTTAATGTATTGTCCTTTTCTATTTATGCATAGGAAAAAATAGAATTTAAAATAATTTGATTCCTTCTTGAAATATATATTTTCTTCTAATTAACTTAAGATTTTAGGAATCGAAGATATTTTAATTCCTTCTCTAAATACTTTTCTCATTTACTTATGGTAGGAATTTTAGGAATGTGTTTTTCACTTTTCTAAATCAAGGTCCTAAATAAGAAAGTAATTAAATGACTATTTCTAAATATTAGGAAAGTAAATTGAATGACTAATACTATATAAAGAAAAATAATAAAATGACTATTTTGTCAAGTGTGAACTATATTTTAAAGGAGTAAATAAGACAAACGATATTTCGCTTAGGGCCTTCGTGCTTTTAATATAATATAGATAAATCCAATTAAAGATACTTTCCCTGCTGTTTTGTAGGACCAACTAATTTTAGTAGGATTTGTTTTTTATTTTAATAAGTCTTTGATTCTTTGACATTACTTTACTTAGTTTCGGGTACAAGTCTAATGGTGGCAAAATAGAGAAAAAAATAGTTATCCAGCTATATAATTCACTAAAAAATGGGTTGGATAATAAACTTTTTAAAAATGAGTCAAATATGGATAAGAATAATATTATTCAAATAAAAAATAAATAACCAATGAGTTTAACTTTTACATTTGTAAAGATTCAAATTAGAGGTTCCTCAAGTTTGGGAGGCTAGAAATTCTCATATTCACAAAGCCATAAATAATATGGATATCCATATTATCCGCCGGTTACTACATCTTCTATCCGTATTTAATATAGATGGGTCGGGTAATTTATCCATTTTGCATTACCCGTTTTCACCTGCCCATATCCGACCGGACCAACTCATTTACCACCCCAAGGTACAGGGTGAAATTCAAAAATAGCCAGATTTACAAGTAATAATTGGAAAATAGCCACAGTTTCAAAAGTAATTGAAATTTAGCCACTTTTCATGTAAAGATAAACCTGAACGAAAACGTTGTTCAAAATCTGAAAAATATTCTAGCATAATATACTGGACTTCTAGCATAATATACTAGTCCAGCATAATATGCTGGAAGTTTATACATAGATGCTCCAATCTCCACTATATTATGGTGGAACTTTTCCATATGTTGAAGTTCCAGCATAACATGCTAGAAGTTCATACGAAGGTGCACTAATCTCCAGTATATTATGCTGGAACTATCCGTGTTGCAGCAAAATAGTGACTATTTTTCAATGACTTTACAAACGCTGGCTATTTTTCAATTACCAGTCCGAAAACTGGCTAGCCCGTGCCATTTCACCAAGGTACAATCTTGTATTTTGGATTAAGTTTTTAACTCTTTAATATGGAAATACGGAATGAACCCAATAATATATATGCGAGATTGTCATTATACAAGGAGTGTCTTATTTTGAAATGTAGAGTGTATGTATACCTAAGTCATACTACAAGTGTATTTAGCATAATTCACTTTAGAATTAATTCTTTGTTATAAATAGAATTTTATTTATGGTGAATGTTTATATTTAAAGAGATTTTAGGGTTTATTACTTGATGGCTAAGTCATTCTCTCCTTAGAAATAGAGGGTTCTATTCCATTGTAATTCATCCCAAAAATTCAATAAGAATTTTATTTCCCTACTTTTCTTTGCAATACTCTTCTTCTTTTTTTATTGTTTCATAACACGTTATAAGCACGAGACTCTACATCACTTGTTGTAAAAAGATCAAAGTGTAGCTGAGGTCTTGTTCTTTCAAAATTAAGAAGTATGAATATGAAATTGAAGTACAGGCCGAGGACAATTTTGTCAAGACAACAATGATCGATTGATACAAACCTCAAAATTATTAAACTCTGAACAAGTTTAGTGGACACGCAAGGAGAATATTTCTTGAAGTCTTCATAGTCTCATTCCTTACAAATGAAACAGTGGCAGTAACAGGAAAAGGAAAAGATGAAGATCAAGTGAAATTTCACAAAAACGGTGGTTTTGCAGTCAGAAAAGTTTATGATTGATCAACGCCAGCGGAGAATTACAGAGAGGGAGAAAATGATGCTATTTTTAAAATCCCTGAACTCTCTGTAAGTATTTTACTTCATTTTTCTTTTTTATATTATTGAATTCTATAATTTGATTTTAAATACAAGCAAATATGAATATCTGTCAAAGCAAAATTAGATCACAGTTCAATTGTAAAAATATTTGTTTAATTACGACACGTACAATATTCAAAGAGAAGAAATATTTCTCTTATTTAAGTATGTGTAAGACAGATGTTACTACAATTTCTGGTAGTGGTAATCTAATTGAAGACTCTGGAAGAGCTACTATAACTCTGCCTAAAGGAACAATACTTTATCATAGAGAATGCAATGCTCTCCTCCAAGTCCAAGAGGAATTTGTTGAGTTTTAACGATATCCGACGAAATGGATATCATATTGAGACAATAGATGCGAATAATCTTGAATATCTCATCATTACCAAGAATGTCTCTGGCCAAAAGAGGGTTATTGAAAAGTTCACATCTTTATCTTGTGGCATGTATTGAACAAGAATTAGTGCAATTGAGGCACATTCTATTGTAAACCAAAAGGTTATTGATTCCAATACTTTTGTACTTTGGCATGATCGATTGGTACACCCTGGATCAATTATGATGAGACGGATTATAGAAAACTCAAATGGGCATCCATTAAAGAATTTAAAGATTCTTTTAAATAATGAATTTTCTTGCACTTTTTGTTATCAAGGCAAGTTAATTATTAGGCTATCACCAACAAAGGTTGAGATTGAGTCCCCTACGCTTTTTGGAAAGTATACAATGGGACATTTGTGGACCTATTCACCCACCTAGTAGGTCGTTTAGATATTTTATGGTCTTAATAGATGCATCTTCAAGATGGTCATGTGTGCCTATTGTCATCTCACAACCTAACGTTTGCAAAATTAATGGCACAAATAATTCAATTACTAGCGCAATTCCCCGATAATCCAATTAAGTCTATTAGGCTTGATAATGTTGTTGAGTTTCATCCCAAGCATTTAATGATTATTGCGTATCAATTGGGATAAAAGTGGAATATCTTGTAGCTCATGTTCACACTCAAAATGAACTTGCAGAGTCTTTAATTAAACGTCTACAATTGATAGCAAGACCGTTACTCATGGAAACGAGGTTGTCCACTTCTGTTTGGGGTCACGCCACTTTGCATGCAGCTATGCTATTTCATCTCAGACCGACAAATTATCATAGATATTCTCCGTTGCAATTAGTATTGGGTCATGAACCTAATATATTTCATTTGAGAATTTTTTGATGCGCAGTATATGTGCATGTAACACCGCCATATCGCACCAAAATGGGCCTCCAAAGAAGGTTAGGAATATATATTGAGTTTGAATCACCCTCCATTATTCGCTACCTCGAAACATTAACGGGGGATTTGTTTACTGCACGATTTGCAGACTGTTGATTCGATGAGACATTTTCCCAAAATTAGTGGGAGAAAATGGTGAAACCAAACGGAAAAATTTGTAAAAAAATCCATCATTATCTCATCTTGATCCACGTGCCTCTGTTTGTGAAAAAGAGGTGCAAAAGATTATTCATTTGCAAAAAATAGTGAATCAAATGTCAGACGCATTTACGGATCTGAAAAGGATATCAAAATCACATATACCTGCAGAGAATGTTCCAATCCGTATTGATGTCCCTGTTGGACAATCTTCTAGTGTCATAGCTAATGAGTCA